TGCGGCGTCGTCGTCGTCGTCGTCGTCGTCGTCGCCGTCCTCCCTCCTCCCGCGTCGTCGTCGTCGTCGTCGCCTACGTCGTCCTGTGTCTTTCCTCGTGTTCGTCGTCGTCGTCCTCTTTGGCGTCGTGGTCGTTTCCGTCGTCGTTGTCGCCGTGGTCGTCCTTCCTCCTCCTCCCTCGTCGTCGTCGTCGTCGTTGTCGTCGGCGTCTCGTCGTCGTCCCTCCTATTTCGTCGCCGTCGTCGTCGTCGTTGTCGTCGTCGTCGTCTCGTCGTCGTCTTCCCTCCTCCCTCGTCGTTGTCGTCGTCGGCGTTGCCGTCCTTCATCCTTCTTCTTCGTTCGCGTCGTCGCCGTCCTCCCTCCTCCCTCGTTGTCGTCATTGTCGTCGTTGTCGCCGTCGTCGTCCTCCCTCCTCCCTCGTCGTCGTCTTCGTTGGCGGCGTCGTCGTCGGCGTCGGCGTCGTCGTCTTCGTCGCCGTCGACGTCGGCGTCGTCGTCGTCGCCGCCGTCGTCGTCGTCGTCGTCGTCGTCGGCCGTCTTGCTTCTCTGGCCTTCTTGGGGCGCTCTTGAGACGCCCCCGAGGGCTCCAAGACGACCCGGGAGCAATAGCTGTGCTCGGTCCCGCATGGGTTCTGCAAACCAAGTTGCGGGTGGGTGGGTGGGATGATTGCGCGAGCAGTGGAGTTGACAATTTCAAGTTCGGCAAGTGGATTGCGCCACATGGGTAGCACCACATAAATTGCCCCACATATGCAGCAAACACACATATGGTATCGCATATAGTGCACATATATTGCACCGCGTAGATTACACACTGTATGCTGTACAGCGTAGAGTTTGCCACACATATCGCGCATACTATATATATATACATATACGTACATAATATGGATGAATACCAGGTCCCCAGCCCGGGCCCTGCCCAGCTCAAAACCATCGGGCCCCCGTTTTTTATATCCCCGCCCTGGCGCCTCCAGGGGGCCTCCAGACGGCCCAGGAGGCCTCCAGGAGGCCCAGGAGGCGGCCCTGGGAAGCACCCAAGATGTCCATGAGGGCTCCGAGACGCCACAAGATCGGTCCAAGATGCTCAAGGTAGTCCTTAGACGGCCCAAGAGGCTTCCAAGACGCCCCAAGAGGCTTTTTTCAAGAGGGCCACAAGAGGCAACACATTGTTGTTGTTGTTGTTTCTTTTTCTAGGGTTCTTGATGGTACTTTGTGATTCTCACCTTTTCGGCTTCCCGACGCTCCAAGATAGCCGAAGAGGCTCCCGAGATCGCCCAAAGACGGCCCAAGAGGCTCCCAAGACGGCCCCAAGACAGCCCGAGAGGGACCCAAGCAGCCCAAGAGGCTTCCACGACGGTCCAAGATAGCCCCAAGACGGCTCTGAGAAGGGGCCCAGACGGAATCCGAACGGACCTTTCGGGCCTTCGGCCCCAGAAATCCTTTAGCAGACGCCAAGAAGCGCCCCAGAGACCCCCAAAACGCCGCCATCCCCTGGCTCCTCGCCCTGGTGGTGGTGGTGGTGGTGTCGCCTTTATTTGCTCCCACCTCGCGTCGGGACAAAAAACACGACGGGAAGCTTGGCACAAGTTCCAGCCTCCAGGGGGCCCTTGCGGGGCCCCGGGACAGTAAAACACAAGTCGGGATGAACAGTCGGCCTTGGGAAGTCGTCCGGATATCCTGGGCCCACGTTGTGAACAAATCCCGGCGTCGAGTGTCTCGGGAGGGGGAGGAGGGGGAGGAGGAAGAGGGAAAATGAGGAGGAGGAAGACGAGGAGCGGGCGGAGAAGGAGGAAGAGGGGGAGGAGGAAGAGGAGGAGGAGGAGGAGGAGAAGGAGGAGGAGGAGGAGGGAGGAGGGAGGAGGAAGAAGATGAGGGGGAGGGAGGAGGGTGATGAGGACGAGTAGGAGGCGGAGGATGAGGAAGACGAGGAGAAGGAGAGCCCGCGGCGCCCCTGGAGGCCTTGCTGGGCCACCCGACCAAGCAGAAGACCTTGGTTGCTATGGTGCATAAGAGAACCCACGCTGTTGCAAAGCAGCGAATGCACCACTGCAGCCAGGCGGCGCTGCTCTCTGCCGGGGGGCCAGGCGCTGGGGCTTACTTGAAGTACCCCGCGGAGCTGGCCTGCACTCTGGAGGACCCTCACTGGGAGACCGCGACCCGGCGCCGGGTCCAGCTGCCGCGGCCCGAGTGCGCCGCCGACGAGCTCGCGCGAGCTGCGGCGACTTGCCAGAACCTGACAGCCGGGGGGGCCCCATGTCAGGCGCCGCTGGACGAGGCTGGCTTCCACGCCGCGATCTGCCAGCCCGGCGGCGGAGTCGTTAAGCGGCACCAGGGAGTGGCGCGCGCAGTGGGCAGCCTCGCTGGCAGGTGGGGCCACTGCGCTCCGCTCTACGAGCAGCGGGTGCCCACGTGGGACAGGGCCCGCGCGCCGCGGCGAGGACAGCTGGCGGTCCAGGAACGGGCCATCCTGGACATCGAATACGACGATGTCGACGGCAGGAGGTGGCTGGAAGTGACAGTGCGCCATCCAGCGGCCGGCGACGAGCCCGCCGTGCGCACGGCGGCGCGACGCCCGGGCGAGGCGGCGCGCCGGGCCGAGCGCGCCAAGCACGCGCGCTACCCGGGCGAGCGCCTGACGGCTTTCGCCCTGGAGACGGGCGGCCGCCTCGGCGCAGAGGCGCGGGACTGGCTCTTGAGCCACGTCCGCGAGCTCCCGGAGGACGCGCAGCCGGAGGAGCTGGCGCGCGCCTACCGGGTGCTCAGCTGCGCTGCAGCGGGAGCTGGCGCAGCAGCTGCGGCGCGCGGCCGGGCTGCACTGAGGCTGCCCTGGGTCTGCGGCCTAGGCCTGCTGCAGGGCGGGCTGGAGCAGGCGGCGGGGCGGGCGGCGGGCCCGCGCTGGCCGGCGGCGGCCAGGCGGCCCCGCGGGGCAGCTGGCGGCGGCAGCGGCGCGGAGCTGGCGCGGGCGGCGGAGGCGCGGCCGCCGCTGGGCGCCGGGGGGCGGCTGGCGCGCTGCACTGGCCAGGGGGCGGCGCTGGGGGTGGCGCTGGGGGCCGGCGCGCAGGCCGCCCCGAGGCGGCCGGCTACGGGGTCCTCGCGGTGTCCGCGGAGCTCCCGTGTAGCGGAGTCTATAGGCCCCGGCCGGCTCACCCCTTCCTCTTCGGGGGCGGCTCGCCGCCGAGCGGCGGGTCGCACCTGGGGGGGGGGGGGTGCGCCGGCTCCCGATCACAGTGCTCTCGGCGCGCGGCTGACACGCGGCCGCCGGGAGGGGGGGGGAAAGGAAGGAGGTGGAGGAGGAGGAGGAGGAGGAGGAGGAGGAGGAGGAGGGGGGGGAAGGAGGGGGAGGGGGGAGGAAGGGGGCGGAGAGGCAGGAGGAGGCGGAGGGGGAGGAGGAGGACGGGGAGGAGGTCGGATTTCTGGGCTAACGCCACATACTTGGACCTGTGCCTGCTCATACCGTCCTCGGAGCTGTTCCGTGGCCCCGGCTAGAACGTAAGCGCGCGCGAAGCGCGCGCGTGGATCTAGTGTGTGTATATATATATATACACACACATGCACGCGACACAACGTAAATTGGACCACGTAGCTTGCACCATATAGATCCCCCACACATATCGCACAACGTACCACCTACATGTCACACCATACCTTGCGCTTCAGACATCGCACAACGCACAACACAGTTGCACAACATTGATTGCAATAGTCGCACTGCTTGCGGCCAACGCTGGTTAACAGTCATATGTAGTAGCTGTGTTAATGTGCATTGAAAATGCGCCAACCTCTGTCGACAAACGCGAGTGACGTCGCAGCATCGTTCGCACTTGAATGTGCGACGGGCAAGGCGGTGCATGATGTAGCGCAGGCACAACCTCTAAGTTGACGCCGGACTTCTGACAGTGTGGGCACAAGTGTTGCCAGGTTGTCATGAAGACGTGCCAGTTGCGGAAAACGCCCTTTTCGTCTTGAGTTCGATTACGGGTTTGCAGCGGTGGACAAAAGTTAACGGCATGATCGCCGTTGAAATTGTTGCTTCTGGGGATCGTGGGAGGACATGTTCCCAGTGGCTGCGCCCAGATCCCACTCAGAGTGCTGTGGTGGGCGCTCGTATGTCCGCTGGCCTGTTCACTCCCTGTAGCAGAACGGCATGCCTCACCAGTCCGCATCCCCATAGATGAAGGGTACAACATTTGAGCAAGCTGGTGCTTCTGTTGTTGCCACGAGGCCGCTTGAGTTTCAAACCGTTCGGTGTCGCGCTAAATCCTGTATGTCCCCAACGTCAGGAGTTCATCTGAAGGGCTGCCGAGGCCGAAGCAGGCCCTGCGAATGTTAAAGTCCCGCCCTGGAGTTGCAGTGTTCACAGTCTTCCCCCCCCCCCTCTCCCTCATCATTCCCTCCATAGTGCAGCGGCGCCGACGCGACCACCACACCTCCGCCAAAGGATTGCACCATCCTGCGATAGCTTGGACGTTCCTGCCCAGGCTGACATCGGCGTCGGAGATGTTGTCACTTGCTAGATCTGCTGGCATCATAATTTGCGCGACTGGCACTGGGCAGTCGGGGCCGAGCGGAGGGCCAGATGCGGCACCAAGAACACGAGGTCGAGGAGGAGACGGAGGAGGCAGAGGGAAAGAGGAGGAACAGCAGAGGGGACAGGACCAGCGCGGTTATATGGTATTTCTTTCTCCTCCTTTATTCCTTTGTTTTTCTAATGCCCTGACTTTTCATCCTCCCATTCTCCTCCAGGTTCCCACCCCGCCTGGTCCTTCGTCCCGCCTTCACTGCTTCTGCTTCATCCCGCTGCTCCTCCGTCCCAGCAGGGCCAGAGGTCCCCCTCCAGCCACTGAGATACACTCAGATCCGATCAGTTATCTCCTGTTGAGGTAGAGTCTCCCAGTTGCAAGGCCACTCATACATTCGGGTCTCATGAATTATGGCTTAGTCTGGCCCAATTCCTTTCCTCCCCCTCTCTTTCCGCGTGAGCCGATGTGTGCATCAAAGGTTCGCGGCGTGGCTGCCCTCGGCCCGTCGTTGCTGGCCAGCGGCTCGCTCGACCAGACAGTCCGTGTGTGGGGCAACCCAGAGAACGTCTTCTGTCTGTAGACTTTGTGTAGCGTGCATGGAGTGAGCGCGGCCCCAGCGGGTTTCTCGCGCGGGAGCCCCCCTGTGAGCAGCTGCAAGATGTCTGGTGACCTGTCAGACAAGGCGATTCCTTCTTTTCACAGGACCCACCAGCGGCCCCGTTGGACAGCGCGGCACCTTGCTTTAAGCATCTGTGCTGTGCTGTTCCCGAGGTCCCGGCAGCGACCATGATCACGGCTTCCTTCCCCCCCCCTCCCCCAACGACGATCAGGATTTGTTTCCTTCCTTCTCTTACCTCCTCCTTCCGCATGGGTGTCACGACAGGGGGAGGAATGAGGTTGATGGTTGGCGAAGAGGGACGGAGGAGAAGGATGAGGAAAGGGAAGGGCGAAGAGTAAGAAGGCGGAGCCGGAGGATAGTATGGGGGGAGCATGAGCCGAGGGAGGCAGGATCGAAGGTGGCGGGGTGGGAACGAGCGAACGAACGAACGAGCGGTGAGTCGGGCCGCGCGCGCACGCGGCTACGTGCACTCACAGGCCCAGTGGGAATTGTTCAGACTACCTTCTTAGCGGGCTTCCGTCGGCCCTGCGCCCGTCTGGGATCCAGTCGTGGACTCGCCGGGCCCACGGGTCGTAGCTCATGTTGTTGAGTCTTCTTTTTCGCCCCAAAGACGTAGTCGGGAGCGGCGCTCCTCTGTCCAGCCAGGAACATCGTCGTGCCTCCGTAGTCACGCGCTGGACCCCGTCCACCCGAGTCTCCACGTCCCCGTCCAGCTTGTACTTGCGCCCCCGCCCCAACATTGCCCAGGCCATTTGAGTTGCGCACCCTTGAATTTTGAGTCTCGTTCCGCAGTCATTTCCCAGCTGCCACAACCCTACAGCGCGGTCGAGGTCACCATGGCATGCAGAGCTTCAATTAAAGATCGATAGGTGCTGTTTTGTCCGTCATCTCCTGCTTGAGGGTGCCGAGCTTTGCCCACGCCCTCTTCAGCCGGTGCGTCAGCTCAGTGCCGTGGACGGCCAGAAGCGATAGTGCCTTGCCTCAATCCATTGTGTTTCTGTTGGTTCCATCACTTCGATCTTCATTCCCTTCACAACAGCCATTCTGACCTTACTGCCAGAATCAATGTTGTCATGCTGTATCTTCGTTTCCTCTTAGAGTGAAAACGAAACGACCCAAACAGGGATATCGGTTTCGGTGTCGGTTTGTGTCCCGCTTGCGTGCGAGGCAAAGGTGCTCCAGGGCGATGATGTTAATGACACTGCCAGGGCCAAATCGGACACTTACGCACTTTATGCCCCTTCTCACGTTGGCACGCCGTTGTTGTCCTGCCTCTTGTCCAGCGGTTGTCCCGCGGTTGTGATGTAGGTTGTTCTTGGGTTGTCGCGTGCGTGGTCCCGTAGCTGCTCTGGGGCTGTCCCACGGTTTTCTGATGTCCCTTGGGTTGCCACATGGGTTGTCCCGTGGTTGTTCCGCGATCTGTTCCGTTGTTTGTCGCTTTGCTGTTGCGTCGGTAGTCCCGCCGTTTCATGTTGTGTTGTCTCATGTCGCTCTCGAGTTTTCCCCCGCCTCCCATATAATTCCACCTCCACTTGGCCGTCTCGTTCGAAGCAAGCTACGAGTGGTCTTGCCAAAAAGTTTACAGAGTGTCGGCCCAGCAGCTTGCATGCCATCGATACTACTCTCCAGGTGCTGCGGTGTACACGGGCGACGTGGTGAGGGCTTCCGCGGTCTTTGGCGGGCCCCGCAAAAAAAAGGCTTCGCAAGCTGCGGATGTGCCCGTTGGCATGTTTTGTTGTAGGCAAGTGTTGTGGTGCACGGAAGCTTTATGGCGTGCGCAGGCGCTGTGGTGCGCACTGTTGTTGTGGTGCACGCAGGCGCTGCTGTGTACACAAACGCTCTGGACACAGGCGATGTGGTGTACACAGGCGCTGTTGCGCACACGGTTGCAGCAGTATGCACAGATTCTGCGGCGTACATGGGCGACGTGGTGGCGTTGTGCGCGCAGCTGTTGTATAGTACAAAAGCATTGTGGTGCATGCAGGCGGCGTTGTCTTACACGAGTGCATTTGGCATTGTCGCGTGTGCATGGATTGCAGCGCGCCCAGGCAGTTGATGTGCCGATGGCGCGGACGCACCCTGACGGGCGCACGCCGCGGCCGCCGTTACCGTTACCCGCCGGCCCAAACCCCTCCCCCCTGGGTAACAGCTGTTACCAAAAAACAAGAAAACAACAGTCTCTAGCCAGACGAGCACGACAACAGGGGGGTGATCCACTTCCACCGCCACCTGCAAGTGACCCTGCTGTTCGTCCAAGGTTCCCAGATTGGTCAAGGTTCGACGTACAGATCAGTCCACATAACCTGCGTAGCCTTGACCCAAGCATGGTAGCACGCGAGTTGCGAAAACTACATATGCGATGGTTCCACGCTAAGGATCCTAAGATGAGACTCGTCTTAACCAAGGCCGGTCCGGACAGTGTTAGGCTGAACTTGATAAAAGAAGGGCGTCTGTGATACACGCTGGGAGTGCAGGGTTTGGGAAAAGCCTGGGCAGACTATAGTGTCGTCTACCGCGCTGCCCGGCAAATTCACTGATGAAGTCGAATGCAACTTCATGTTCTACAAGCAGGAGCAGAAGGTATTTCAAATAATCGATCGTTGCTTTCGACACGGTGCTGGAATCGAGATACCAAACATAACTATGATCAGCATCGTAGATGCGTACCACCTGTGCTGGGCGCAAGTCGGACCTGCCAAAATACTATACTCCAACGGAGAGGGTGCTCTCTATAATGACACCGCAGAGGCAGTCCTAGACAAAAGGCGCTGAGCTAAGGATACGCGCGCGTGGACAACACGCTACTACCATTGAAGCCAGACGCGGCAAATTACGACATTTGCTTCACGTCATGCAGGTTGAACTCAATAGGTTGGACATACCATTGGTGTTCACCCGACTAATGCATGAGGCTTTGTTTTCCACCGATGCGTTGTTGTTTCAACGAGTATCTCCATATGACGAAGTGCTTTGGTCGACGACCATCAATGTTACCTGACTTGCCTGTTCTAGATCACGAGCAACAGACGGAGACTTCCGATCATATTCGAGAAGAGATAGCCCGCCGGGTAATCATTGAGGCTGCTACACAAACCACTGCATTAGCAAAAACAAGCCGTGCACGACTGACTAAGACGACCGTCGCTCGTCAGCACTAGTACAACGAAGGATATCTAGTGGACTACCATCGCCCCGCAACTACGAAAGACGACTGGGGTGGCTGGAGTGGACCCTTCCCGGTCGTGCGGAACGATCCTGGCGGGGGCCAAGTTATCATGCGAATTGGGAATCGCGATATACAAGTCCAGTACGGTGATGCATTACACTCGCTGCACATTGAGGCTCTGGTCACTCGAGAGGTTGGCTCGGACAACACAGCATTACGGACTGCGTTGGCATTCGTAGCCAGTCTACCTGCGGGGCGACCTGCTATGACTTTCGCATATCTCCCGATGGGAATACTCCAGGTGACGAGCGCGAGTCGATTATCTCCACTGGTACACTTTGCTCTCCAGTATATTATCAGGAACTTCTTCTGCATCGAAAACGTTAGGTTCGCTAAGAGCACTCATAAGCTGCATCTGGTAACGTGTGCTGACAGTAGTGTTGTGGTGCACGGTGACAACGACTTGAACACACATTCTCCATAGTCCGAAGCTGCAGGTACGGCCCTAAACATTCAAGTCATAACTGGATCTGCACACGCTAGATCATCCAGTGCCAGAAGTCCACCAAACCTTCAGCGGGCCCCGATCAAGACATGACGAAGTTCGATGAGCTGGCAGACATGCCGACGCATGAAAGAGAAGTCGAACCACCACAGGAAGACGGCCGGCGTCCCACAATCTACGAGGAAACGGAGGCTGACCTCGAGGCACACATTATGGAAATGCGGCGTACGGAGCTACATGACAAAAAGGAGCTGCTGGATGCAACTCCAGTAGAAGAGCTCTGCGCTGCACCTGCACGTATGATTTCTGATAAAATTGCTGGTCACAGTAGCTGAAGAACAGCAGGGGCACTTGCCTACGTGGGGCAACCCGGACTGGGCTCCGACGAGCCCAGACAGTATGTAGAATTCTGCTTTGCGGCAGAAATGCCGAATATCTTCCTATCCGAACAACAACATAAGATATGGTACTGCGACCGTGTTACTACGATGTCAGTATATGTGATCGCTGCTGCCAAAAGAGCTGCAGTTGTCAAGGACGACGACCTTCTCGCAAAGGCATAAATCCAGGCGAATCCAGTCAAGGCGTCGAACGTCCGATATACTGAACTCAAGATCTTGCTTGATAATGCGCGTTCCAAGATGCAAGACGCATGCGAGGCGTCAACATCACGACCTCGAGGTGCGTATACAAACGGAAATTTGCCGAGAGCGAAAGGGGCGAGATGAAACGCGCCGTCGGATTGCGCGATTGCGCCCGGTACTTCGGAGCTCGCGAGCCTCGAAGTCGCCGATGTAGAAACGTTTCTAGGGTCGGCGCGGCGGTCGAGCCGGCGATTATTCGCCAGCACGGCAGCGCGCAGGAAGCAGTGGTTCATTGTTCCCCTTGACATCAACGTCGCTTTCTTGAAGTGATTTACGTATCAGTTGCTAGCTGAAGCGACCGGCGAATGGGAACGTGCGGCGTGCTTTACGTCGCCACCCGGCGCAGTTTCAGCGCTCAGATCTCCCCCAGGACCCGAGCGCCACGATGAGTCATGACACTGTCTACAATGCCATGGGCCAGGCGCTGTCGCCAAATATGCGCTGACAGACATCTCACTGAAGCTCGGAAGGGCCACGAGAGGCTTTGGACTCAGACGCGCGTCTTCCGACGAGGAGTTCGAGGCGAGCCCCGGCCTTCTCGCGGCCAAACACGTCGATGGTGCAAACGTGGCCGGCGCCGAAGACACCGTCGACATGTGCGTCGAGTGCCTTGAGGATACCTTCGGGAAATGTAGACTCAACGAAC